CAGTGAGCACATCAATTAAAGAAACATTTTATTCTGGTAATTGCTTCCAGAGAAAGAAATAATCTATGACGCTCCATAAAACCCTGCATAAAAAGTCCCATCCATCTTTGAACTCCAAAAGCTAGTCTTCTGTCCACCTATACATTTATCTGGAAAGTTGACAGAGGCAGAAGCATCCCCAAAGCCCCTTCTTTAGCACCTCTGACTGTGTTATATTCTCCAAGTTATGAGAGTTACCATATTCACAGGACAGAGCTCCACAGCCCTGCTTCTTCCCTTAGATAGATGCAGTTCTGTCATCCAAACGCTGATACTGAAATTAGCCTGAGAGATCAGTTGAAGCATCTTGGCTTCTCATAAATCTCTGCTGAGGAGCATGCTTTCTGTATTTGCCTTGAGGCATCTGCTATGGATTGACCCCTCTGGTCTCTGGCTAACCTGGTTCACATGAGAAGCCTGAGAAGGGGTGGAATGTAGGAAGGCTGCCAGCTACAGCCTTCCATGCTAGGCTGAGCAGAAAGGCAATCAGGTTTCCTAAGCACTGTAACAGATGACAAGGTGTATATTTATACCACATACCCACGTACTTTGAGTGAATTGTGCAACATGAGATTTGTCATCATGCATCAGATCATAGTGTATCTAATTCAATACTGTGGTGCTGACAATGCTGGGAGAGCTGAGCTGCCTGCAGTGATGCACCTCACCAACTGTGCAATGTGGGAACAGAGGGTCTGCCATTAATATTCCTCCCCAGTTCCTCCAACAATCAACTGGTACCCTGACTGTTCTTATTATCTGAGCAGGCAGAGCTGCAAATATAAATAATCACAAGTTTAGGTAGCCTTCTAATTACAGCTAGTACAACCACAGAATTCATTTCTAGTCTGCCCCCTGGACTGGATATATTTTGAGTGGGATAATATGTCACACTGATTTCACCTTGCTTTCCTCTGTTAAAAGATTCCTGGGTTAGTTGCACCCAGGATGCCAGCAGTGAAGCCTTATTCTAGTGCTGGAAGCAACCTGTAACTTTTCACATCACTCCTGGTCCCATCTTTGATACCTCTCATGAGCTCCTCATTCCTTGCACACTTGGTTCTTGTTTGGTTTCGTTTGTTTTGCGGTTTTTTGTATTTTGTTATTGGTGGTGTTGGTTTGGTTTTTCTCTGTTGTCTTTGCTGTAAGGGAATCAAGCCATTCTTCTGCTTTGGGTGTGCTGGCAGTCAGCCACGTTCTGTAAATGCAGCAGGTGCTGCTGCCTTTGTGTTCACAGTGCTGTCATCACCCTTTGATCAGGCCAGGAGTCACTTACTTTGCTTGGCTGGTTTGGGCTTCTGCCATTTGCAGAGCAGGGCTCTCCCCTAAGGTGTCTGCAGCGGCATTTGCAACGTACTCATGAATATGTAGAGATAATTTCAAACCTCTTAATGCGACCAATTATTGGACTACTTCTTCCCAGCCTACATAGTGTGACTTTCTGATCAGAGCAAGAATGTCTCTTGTCTAAAAAGCTCTTGCCCCTTTGGCTGTCCCTCATTCTTAGTGCTTTCTGCAGCTGATTTGCTGTAGTCAAATGCCCTGAATTAGTCAGCTGTTCATCTGTGTCAAACACCTTTCTCTTGCAGTGCCCTGCAGAAAAGAACCAGGGAAGGGGGAATCCTTTTGCTTTGCAGTTGAACCTCAGGCATGGGAATTTCTCTTCCCTCTTTCTCCTCTTTCAAAGGCTTCTCTTCCTAGTCCAAGGACTCTGCTGTGGACCTGGGCCTTGTGAAGCTTGGTCCCTGAAATCCCTGTAATGGTTCTTGCAGGAGTGACATGGCTTTGTGTCTAACAGTCCATGTGGCACTGGGTCAGTGTCACTTCAGGCTGTGTTGAAGATGATTTTTGAGCAAACATCTGTCATATGACACAACCAATAGTGCTATTTGCTCCTATCCTTTTCTGCTTCCTTATGTTTTATAATTGATCCATATTTGTTGGCATCTGCTTTTCTGTTTGATGTGTTCTGTCTTGGTGGTGCCAAATGTAAATTCATGTCTGTGTGCCCATAATGTAACAGGATTCAGAAGATGGCGGCAGGAGCTACTTGGTGTGGAGCAAAGACTGTCTCATTTGGAATGAATTATGCTTCAGGGACCAGATAACTAGGTTTGTCAAATGCTAGGGGACTCAGTGACTTTTTCCACCTGTACATTAGGGTACTGATCCTTTAGTAGCCCAAGTGATTTTTTTCAGCCAAACCAAGCTACCCAGAGTGTCCAGCAACCCTCATATCCTTTGTAAGCTATCAGTGACAACAGTTTGTGGTGACTGAAATGCTGTTGAAGACCATCGTTCAAAAACTGAGACTGTTGCCTATGACCTGGTCATGTCAACAAGGCTGGCATTGCCTTGTCATCCTGTGAATATCATATTGTCACATCTGCACCGTGCTAGGACAGGACACAGACACCAGCCTAGCAGTGGGTGTGCTGCTGCAAGGCTCACTGGCTAACTTCCCTCAGTGCTTCCCTCTCAGTGGGTGGCTGATGTTTCACCTGTTAGTGTTAGCCTTGGTCTTTGGTTACCCTGCACTTCTAGGAGTGCCAGGAGCATGAGGAACAGCAGGGCTCAGTGCCCACAGGACTAAGCAGTGCCCACAGCACCAAGCCTGCAGAGTTCAAGAAGCATTGGGACAATGCTCTCAGGCACATGGTGTGATTCTTGGAATGGCCTGTGCAGGGCCAGGAGTTGGACTTGAAGATCCTGATTGCTTCCTTCCAACTCAGCATATTCTATAATCTGTGACTCCTGGAACCTCCTGAGACCAAGACAAGTGTCCACCCATGACACACTGTGAGCCCTTCCCACACCCTGCTGTAAGAGATCCCCTCTGGCTAAACCTCAGCTCCTGAAGATTCATGTCACTGTTCTACCCTCAATTAGCATGTCTTGGCTCTCCCTGCAGTAGATTAATGGCTAAAGAAAAATTTCCTACACAGCTGATTCTAGCTACATCTTACCTCACAGCTCAGAGGATCATGCCCCAAGTTTTCTGAGATCTGCTAGTGTCCTGGGCTTTGGACTCTTTGCTCAAGCTCTAGAACTGCAGAGGTGTTTGGCCAGACAACGCTGGAGAGGCAACAGCTACATCAACCCAGGCAAACACCTTGGTGATTTTGCTTTGGGACAGATGAGACTCTGCCAGGGTGAGAAAGTATGTTTCCAGCTTTCCTGGGTGTGAGGCAACGCCTGGCACTGAGACTGAGTGATACCACTGCTCACACTGTCTGCCTGAGCTCGCAGGCAGCCTGGAACAGGAGTTCTGGGAGCTCTTCTGCTTCCCCCTTCCCTCCAGAACAGGAAATCTCATCTACTGGTATGCAAGAGAACATGGTAGTTCTGCATTGTCTGAAAGGGCTGGGCTGAGATTCAGTAAGAACAGCAAGTACTTCTGCTAACAAATATCTGAAACACTAATGGGGAAAAAGAAAAACAAAACAGAGCAAAACTCTTTATTAGAAAGGGAATCAGATTTTATTTTTATACCCACAAAGTTAAAAATATGCATTTCAAAATATTTACAATGACTATATATGAAATAACCTTTGTTAATGAAACACCAACATACAGTACTAGCATATATCCACCAAATTGATAAAGTCTACATAAGAAGAAAATGTAACAGAAAGAGAGAGAGAGGTAAATAGCATCCATGCACAATCTGTACTAACATGGTTTTTATACTCTCTACCTTTTAGATGTGAATGGAGTCACAGGAAATTTTGACCGAGTCTCTTGCAAATGCCTCTTGTGACTGAGAATCTTCAAACTAACAGAAATTTGTGGGTTGCAGCAGTACCAGTGCCTAACTTTCCTATGCCAGCCTTTCACATGGGGAACCTTGTGTTACAGAGTGGACTCAGAATCTCTCAGCAACCCTGGGAGGTAGCTAGTTTTTATTGAAGGATTTGGCAGATGAAAAGCACCGGGTTAAGTGGCTGGCCTAATGTTGTGCAGCAAGGAGCAAAACTCACAAGCCCTTCTTCCTCTCTCCTAGTCTCCCATTAGGGAATAACTTTCCTCTGCTAACCATTATCTGCTTTTCAGATGAGCTTTGTCACAAGGTGGGGCACTCAATTAATATCATATACCAGGTGATGATATAGGAAAAAAGCCCTGCCTACACATAAGAACTTGTCTCAGTAAGGATCTGCGATGTAGCAGTGCTGTTACCATGTTCTGGAGGTGAACAGAAGATTATTGACACACATCCAGGTGGTTCCCTCCCTGCATATGTACCACTGAGCAACTGCACCCTCTGTAATTAAGAACCTCTGTATATCTTTACCTCTATTCTCTCTCTCTCTCTCTCTCTCCATCATCCATGCCGGTATATTTGCCATTCCTACTTGTATCTTATTCAGTCATGGGAATATCAAATAGAAAACAGAACAGCAAAAAAAATTGCTGCCTTATTTTTGTAGATATTTTAATACAAAATTAATTCAATTTCTATTGTTTTTTTCTCAATTTAATGTCCTTAGCGTTCTCTTATGTGCATATATATATATATTAAAAAATGTAACAAAAGGCCCATCCCATTTGTATCAATGGGCAAATAAAGGGGTCATAATCCTCACTTGCCCTACCCACAAGGCACCCTCAAATGTAAATGAGAAGGGCTCTAGGAAGAGAAAAAGATATAGCCCTTGTTTATATGGTGCCCTTTAATCATCACTGCTGACCTTGAAGCTTTGTGAAGGTATGGCACAACGTTGCAGAAAAGGAGAAGAGCTGTCTGGGTCACTTGCAGATTTCTAGCCCCAGAAGTGCTAGATCAGTAGGAGTTGTTTCTCCCTCTCTTTGATGAAGGAGGTTCTGAGGATTCTAGCTTTGTTAGTGATTTTTCTGCGGTGGCAATGGTGATGATGGTGGCTGTTTTTGTCTATTGGCCCAACAGTTCTCTCAGCAGAGTAATTCTTCCCCACTCCCAGTAGCCAACCCTCTCCCCTGGACTCCCATCAGCCTTATTTTTTCCTAAGAACAAGGTAGAGGACGCCGATGATGAAACTGAAGCAGAAGCAGATCCAGGCCAATATGAAGCAGTAGCCATGGTGAGGATTTGTGGCGAACGCCACTGTGCTTGTGAACCGAGCTGTGTAAATGGAGACTGCAATCAGAATGCACATCCCTGTGGGAAGGAAGAGGGAAAAGAGAGTTGGAAAACGCACAGAAACCAGCATTGCCGCAGGACTTCTGAAGTGCTGCTGTCCCCTGAGATTGTAATGCACGTCTTGTGCCATATGAGAGAGGAGCTGCTGCCCATTAGGCTTATTTGTGGAGGATTTCTTGTGCAGCTGTGATGACATAAGACACTTGGGGCTTGTTTAGTGGGTGCCATGAGGAATAAACCTTTGTTAGGAAAAAATCAGTAATAAGATCTGACGACAGTTTGGTGCTACGTATTGAATCCCAAGTGCAGTAACTAACTGTTTATTCCCCTGCTCCCCAAAACACTTGAATCCTTTTTGTTGTCTTTCAATGGTCTTTTGCAAAACCCACTGGGATTTCCTAATGAAAATCTGAAAATACTTTCATTATATACAGCCAAAAAAATCCCAACCCAACACTTTCCCATTCCCCGGTGCTTTGTTTTGTAACAAAAATTGGGCCACTGGAAACATTTACTGGCTGACAACCCTCCCCTGGTGACCATACGTGGCTACTTGTGTTCACAGAGGCAGTGGGACACCCAGGGAGCCAAGGCACCGTGTGCAGGTGCATACTCACAGCAAACCAGCATGACGGCTCCGGTCATGTAGAAACGTTTGCCTTTTTCCAGGGTGAACAGCTGGACAATGAACAGGACGAGTGCCACAACGGAGAAAATGATCGAGAGGATCATAAAGGCTTGCACGGCTTTGAGGGAAGCTGTCAAAACACAGAGAATGGATTGGAGGAGGTCAGGACTCGGTCTCGGCATTGCTCATCAATGTCCTGTGATTCACCACGACAAAAATGAGGCTGTAACTTACCCTCATCCTGACTGCTGACTGGCAGCTGAGTGCAGGTCCTGTTGCACAGCAGCCACAGTCCTGTTGAGATCGTTGCATAGTTGGAAGAACCCACCATCCAAACCTGAAACAGGAGAGAACAGAGGTTGTGTCTTGGGGCAGGAAAGCTTCTTCGCTCTTCTATCAGACTAAACCGTGAAGCGAGCACGAGCAGCCCAACTGCCCAGAAACGTTGGCACCGGACAGGGGGGACACTGGCTTCCAGTGCCAGGAGTCATTTGGTCTGGGCAAAACACGGTGAGGTCCGTTCCAATCATGGTGGAGAAATCCCCCAGGTCATCCTGACCCTCCTCCTGTGTGAGGCGGGTGCGAGGGGACCCCAAAATGCGCTCCGACGGCGGGCGGGGAGCGCGGGCAGCGCCACCAGGGGTCCCCCTGGGCACAGAGCTCCCGTGGGCCCACCGTGCCCCTCGGCGTGGGATGCGCCAGGTGGGAACAGCCCCGGCCGGGGAACAGTGCCGGCACTGCTGGATGCGCCAGGTGGGAACAGCCTGGGCCCGGCCGGGGAACAGTGCCGGCACTGCTGGATGTGTCCCGGTGGGAACAGCCTGGGCCCGGCCGGGGAACAGTGCCGGCACTGCTGGATGTGTCCCGGTGGGAACAGCCTGGCCCCAGCTGGGGGGACAGTGCCGCGCCAGGGCTGAGCCCCATGAAGGGTTGGTTGATGTGCTGCGGGCGCGGGGGTCCCGGGAGGTGACAGACAGAGGCTGCCTCCTGCACCATCCCGGCTGCCTTCCTGCTCCCTGAGCCACCCATCGCTGCTTCCTCTCTCCCCATGGCCGTGAGTGGATGTTCCCCACCCTCACCTGAGCAGCCACCCCCGATCTGCCTGCCAGCCGTGTCTAAGGCCGGCTGTCTGCGGGAGGTGACAGCCATGCCTCGTCCAGGGCAGCCCACTTACGTTGGCAATGGTGGAGACAAAGAGCATGATGACAGTGGCGATGTGGACCACAAAGATACCAGCCAGCAGCACCAACATCTTGGGTCTCTTCTAGGTGGTGTCACGGACACAGAGAGCTCTGAGGGAGAACAAAAGCAGAGGGAGGATGTGAAGGGAAGAACAGCATTGCCATAAGATTTGTTTACGTGCAAAAACCCAGGCTGATCTTAGGTTCACTCTGGAAATGTGGAATCACCAAAAAAAAAAAAAAAAAAGCCACTAGAAACTTTGTCAAAATCTGCTCAAGAAGTTAAATAGAGTCCACAGATTAAGGAGCCAATATGGGAGGAGATGTAGAGCATGGGTAGATAACCTGGGGGCATTTAAAAAATAGCCTGAATATATACACAGGTTGCTTACATTGATGTGTGTTAATGTAAAGTAAAAATGCCATACTCCAGGCATATATTCTAGGAAAAGGAGGTTTTGCCCTGGGATTGACAGAGGTCAGGAAAGATTCTTCTCTTCCTGTTCTCCTCTGGTGTCTCAGCCTCTTCCAACTGGTCTGGGTCACAGACAAGTGGTATGGAATGGGGGACTGTGGGCTCCTTGGTGCCTCAGCTGTGGAGTAGTTGTGGAGAGTGAGCCAGAGGGGTGGTCACTACTCCACAAACCACTCCTTTAAGTGAAGGGGATAGTACAGAAATGCCATGAGGTTTTCTGGAGCTGGGGAAGATGCCTAGGTTTGCAACGAAAACTGCCTGTTTCCCTTTTAAAACTTGAGGCATGCAGGTCACTTTATTAACACAGTAAGGTTCTCCTGTAATGCAAATTCCTCTTTGGTTTGTTTTGGTTATTTTTGCCTCTGTACCCTGCAAACTTTTACTTTTTTTTAAGACTTCCTGTCATTGATGAACATGTGATTGGAAAGAGAGAGAGGAATGTGCTTTAGAAAGCTTGCATGACATGGTTTGTCAAGACTGATGGCTTCTCACCTGAAAACGTGAAATACAAGGAACAAATCTAAGCTGTGAGAATGAGTGCAGACAATTCACAGAAATCAAGTGAGTGTATTTCAGTCAGAAGCATTTTGAATCCACTCTTGGCCAGTAAACTTCCTAGAAAGTTTGACAGGCTGTGCTGCTCTTTCCCTCAGAAGTGCTGGTACTGAAGAGCAGTATCAAGCATGTGATTAATGTTAGCTGTCAAGTTATTTTGGTCCAGGTGACTCAGGTAGGGTCTGATGCTGTCACCATTTGTACAGGGTGTGGCAACACTGTCATGAAACAACACACTTATACTTTATGATGTCTTTCACACAAACTGTGACAAAAGGCTTTGCACAGTCCCATTCATGTGTCTTTTTCACTTGATGACTCCACCTACTCCACTACTGTCTTTCCTCTCACTGTGGCCACGAGTGGGAGGGTATTCCTGTAAAAGGCTGCAGCTGTTCCTGGCACTGCTTCGTTACCATTTCCCAAACCATAGTGGGTAGGCAGGGCTTCTCCATCAGTGGCACTTTGACCAGTTCAGCATTAGCTGGGGACCAGAAAGGATTCCTTGAGTTTAGGATCTCAAGGAACCAGTTCTGTTAGGTCACTGCTCCCACCCAAACAAGGCTACTCTTTAGTGAGACAGATTAGGTTTGGTGACTAGTCCCATCTCTTCAGCAAATCGTGTCTACTCTAAGGTTTCCTTCACCTGGAGAACTCTCTGGAGATGTTAATCCCTGACTTGCTGAATGTGGGCCAGGTTTGCTTGTCTGCTTTGGGGTGTCTTGGCAAACTCGTGCTCTAGAGCTTGGTTTGGCTGGATGGCCTGGTCACTGCGACCTCTCTTGTCACAGTGCCTCCCTTAGTGATGATCCTGGAGAAAGCACAGCCTTCTTAGGACTTGTACTCTGACCGTAGTGACAGACACTTATGATTTCAGCACTGCTAAAATTCAGGTTCTCAACGGTATATGCAGGCTACCACATGAACACACTTAACCTAAGAGTTAAACCCCTTCTTTCCATTGTAAAAGGAATGAGAATTTCAAAATGCTGGATGGCAACTGATACAGATATCACCACTGCAACTCAAACTATTGCTGTTGCCATGACTAAGTGACAAATCTGCAGCAAATTCTTGAGTCAAATCTTTCTGTCCCTTTGACTACTTCCCTTTATTTTTCTTTATTTTTTTTTTGTTACCTTGGTTCTTACACAAACTTTAACAAGTGCTCTTGACACTATAGGGTGCTGACTAGCATAAACCAAACTGACAAATTTGCCTGCTCTGAAATTTGCCTTTACTAAACAGTGGCTAAACTTTCTTCTTTCTTAGATGGATGTATTTTTCCATGGCCTCTTTAAAATCTCATTCAGCGGGTTTTTTTGTTCTTATTATTTTTTAGGAAGCTTCAAACAAAGCTTTCTACTTGAAAGATTAAAAACCTACTTTCATGACATCCTAAGGACTAGAACAGTCCTTTTGAATGCATCTTTTGTTTGCATTCAGAAATGAAAATGAGGGATAAAATGTTACTTTACAATGTAAAAAATAAAAAACCAAAATCATGACCTCACACCCAGGACTTTGACCAATATGCTAAGAAAAAAAACTGAAATCCTTTATTCCCTTTGCTTTTTCTGCCTATTTTAGCACTGCAGGAGAGCAGTGTTAGTTCAGGTGCTTTCAGTGCACCTACTTCCTGAGAACGTCAGCACCTCTCCCTGAACACACACACTATCAAACGCAAACTCCCCCAGGGGGATATGTGCTCACCGCTCAGTTTTGATTCTTTGTGAGTTAAAGCACAAGCCTCCCTCTGTATTCATTTGCTTTCCCTCTTCTTCATCTCTCTCTGCCTGTTAAATAAAACACGAGAGAACAATCCCAGAGGAGCCGTGGGTGAAGGAATGGCACTGAAATAGATTCACTTCTGCCTCTGATGCTGTGGCGTGGACATTTCCTCCCATTAGACAGAGAAACTGGCAGAGCATCAGGGACTGACAGGATACCGTTTCCATTTGTTAAGTGTGAGACATCTTTCTCCACTACAGGGTGGGGTCACATTGCTGGAGCAATAGGACAAAATTGCATGCAAATGCCTTTTCTTCCATTCCCCTACCTAAACTGCAGCTGCATTTGGAGTTCCTCAGGCTCTTCCTGGGCTATGAGTCAGTCTTAGCCTTCCTAGAGCTGCCAGCTTTTTCCACTGACTCACCCCAAAGCTCTCAAACCCCACAATAATTTAACCCTGAAAGATTAAGTGCTCAGGACAGCATCAGTTTTAGGACTGCTTCTCAAGAACCAGTCAAGCAAACAATTTGTGAGTCTTCCCCAAGCATCCTTCAGAGGAGAGACCCAATTAAGCCAAGAAAAAAAGTAATGAGACATAACAGTAGAAGGACTACTGAGGCAGGGCAGGCTGGTGGGGAAGGGAAGGTCATGCATGCGCTGAACAACCTGCATGAGTCAAGGGAAGATCTTGTGCTGATAACAGTGGACTTTCCTTTTCATGGGGTGATGGATGAAGGGAAATAACAAGCCACACCAACAGTAAGCATGAATAAGAATCACCATAGAAGCCTTCAGCACAAAAAACCTGCAGATAAGCATGACAGACTCTTAGCTGTGTACAGACTATTTCTGACCATGCAGGAGTACACATGTTGGGGAACAACACATAGCTCTGCTGCACCCCAGTTCCAGCTCAAGCAGGCTGGTACTATCTAGTGCCTAAAACTAAGACAAAGCCTTCTCATGCAGGCAGATTGTTGCCACCAGAATCACCCCTCTGTCTACTTAAGTGTTTTGGACCTTCTGTCTGAGGGCAATACAGAGAAGTGAGTCCTTGCTCCTGGTTTGCATCCAGCAAAGGATCAGGATGGAATGTGTAGTGCCACTTGGAGACATGATAAAGGCCAGTGGTATAGCTCCTCAAATATAGGGAGGGAGTTACTCAAGAGGGTAAGCCAGATTAGGGAGAGGTCCTTTGCTTGTGACAGAAAGTGCATTGCAGGGAAAGGACTGCAATGGTAAGTGGGGTAAACGTACAGGATGTTTCTGCTGGAACAGTGGGGTTGTTTCGGGTGAAAAATCAGAGCACTCTCAAGTAAATTTGAAATATTTCAGATCTCAAGTATTCCTTAATGGATGTAGCTCATCTGACTTCCATTTCCATCCTCCTCTCTGAACTCAGGTCCCTGCTTGGGACTGCCTCTCCCAGGCTGAGTTGGTAAGGTGTACTGTGAGAGAAGCTGGCTGAGGTGAGAACCCAGTCAATATCCTGCAGCTCCCTAGAATGTCCAGGGAGAAGAAGACATCTAAAATGCACTGCCTGTGCACACTGGTGACCTCTGGCTCCTTTCAAAGTGAATTTTTCAGCTGAGGACCCTTTAGTTCGATACATTAGATTTCTCAACAATGGAAAGATGGCTTTTTGGGGGAAAAACAAATGCCTTTAGTTAGAATGTCAACAAAAATCTCCATAGATTGAAAACAACTAACTCAAAAGAAATTCTGCCTTTCCCAGCTGCCCCTACAGAATATAAGGAAGGCAGTAGTAAGTCAGACTCAAGGTCTGACTCTCCCAGTCTCTGATGGAGACAATAGGAGGTCCAATATTTAGAGAAAGCATATGAACTTGGCCACTGTCTGAGGGGCACAGAGTCACAGCAGGAGTACTGGTGGTTCAAATCAGGGCCAAGGCCACTTGGAAACGAAGGATAAAACTGGACAGTAATGGACAGAAAGTAGAAACTGTCTGGTATTGTTTGAGACAGCCACAAGCTTCCACCTCTGTTACCAGTGCATTCCTCAGTGCAAAGCCAACCCACAAATAGCAATGCTGCCATTTTGCTACCAGTAAGGGAAACCTCAATGTGGTCTAAAACCTTCTGCAGAATTTGTACACATGCCTTTTTACTGATCTGAGACCATGACTGCATCTTAGCCCTGCTACAACTGCACACCTTGTCCTTGTGTGGGCTATGAGCACCAGTCCTGATTGTGCCCAGAGCCATTTCACAGGATGCAAAGATGTGAATACCTCTCTGATATTTCAGTGGCATGATGACTTTGGACATGTCATGACGTTACTAGAAAGCTCATGACAACTTTAAACAACAGGGAACTTTGTTTCCACCTT